GTTTATTTGTAGAGCGCCTTTCCTACACAAGGCAACGCAAAGCGCCTCACAACCCATATAACATCATGCATAAATCATCAAACATTAGAATTTAAGTAAACATAAAAAGACAGATTAAGAGCACAAGATATATAAAATCACACAAGTAGTTAAAAACCGTAAAACATTAAAATCACACAAGGGATTACAATCATAAATAATCATAAATAATCATAGCGCATTAAAAAGATTAAAGATAAAAACAAATATAAAATCATTCACTTGTATGCACAGCTAAAAAGAACTGTTTTCAGTTCAGTTTTAAAAACTGCTAGAGTAGACGCCTGTCTCACACTCTTGGGAAGACGGTTCCAGACTCTAGCTGCATGAATCTGAAACGCAGCCTCCCCATGTCTAGTTCCGACTCTTGGCACTAACAGAAGTCCAGTCCCTGTGCTCCTCAGAGCCCGAGTTGGTTCATATGGCACCAACATGTCGCGGATGTACCCTGGTGCGAGGCCATGGACAGACTTGTACACAAGTAAAGCTACTTTAAAATCTATTCTCTGAGCCACAGGAAGCCAGTGCAGAGACATTGCATAGTGTTTACCTTAATGTGGAAGAAGCCAAACTAACCTAAAACATGGGTGAGAATCTGAAGCCAACATTTTCTCAAAAGAGTCTGACACAAACAGTTACTGAGCGAGAGGAGTTTACTTTTTGAGTAAACTTTGTCCATGAGCACTTCCCTACTAGTCATAGAGCTAGCAGATTAGCACGGTTTATTCCTACCATGCTAATCCTAAATTTTGTTTTTAATAAATATTTCTTTGTATTTTAGCATTACAAATGTGCAGTCCAGGTTGGTGTGATTGTTACTTTTTTCCCATCTCTCTGAATCAACATTTCTTCTCATGAGCAGGTAGTCATACTCTGCGATGTCTGATATATTTGGCCTGCAGTGTTCCATTCTCACCTATTCTCCAGCAAAATTGTGTTTGGCACTGCTTTTGGACGTGGCTCCTGGTTCTGTGTTAAATTACGGTTGGCATATGGGACTCTGAAGCTGACTTGAGCTGCCAGTATATTATATGGCTGGATGTGTTCACAATAGCCCTTTTCAGGATTTTTTTATATCTGGATCAGAGTATATATTATTTCTCTCTGGAAAAAAACTGTTCCTTTGTTGACAGCTTTTTCACAATCCAAAGGGCGTGTGTTTAATTTGATCAATGCTGGGAATTTATATTTTCTCAGTAAACCATTTTTTTGTTTGGGGAATAATGTTTTCAATTTAGTGAATAATTTCTTTATTATTACACCTGTCTTACAATGGAGAAAGTTGGATTTTTTTTTTACCATACTTACCATGTTTGTCTTCACTGATGGATATTGTTATCTTTACATTCTCTTCAGTGCAATGATGGCATACTCTCCTGGGATACTGAAAAAATAACCTATTAATTACAATGAGTACAGCCTAAATATTGTTTTTATGTAATGGTTGAGAGGAGAGTTAACGTTAGAACCAACAATATTGCACTTTGGTATTAGTCTAATGTAATCTACGTATTAAATCTAATGTAAGATACACATTATACATCTACGTATCAATTCCTGTATGTGTCATTAGATGTTGTCTTAACGGCCTTGAACTGAAATATGGTATTCATTTTTAAATATGTTTATAAAATGTCTACTGTAAGCACATTAACCAATCCCCAAATTGTGTCAAAAAATAGATTGTCGTCATCTAGGAGGTCAAACTGTAGCTCGTTTTACACCTTCTTTATTACCTATGTCTCCTCCTCCTGCCTGTTCTTCACTCATGTCTAAAGAAAACATTGGCCATGTAGTCAAACAGGAAATACTCCCACATCTGGTCCTGGTTCAAAACATCAACAAGAAAAAGTGGACTTTATGGGGAGTTAAACGCTTTGTGCCCCTTTGGTTGCCCCGGGACAGTTCTCGCACCCCTTTCGCCCTATCCCCCAGATCCAAGCCTGATGCTGCTCTTCCTGTGTCTGTATGCTGTCTGAGTAAATAACCAGAGAAGTGGCATTGTTTAGATGCTTAAGTCACATTCAGACAGTTCTTATCTGGCTATGTATACACGTACAGTACATGAAAATATTTAGTCATGTAAAGCTATCTGTGTTAAGATTTAGAAGTTTTTGCACAAGTAGGGAAGAGTAATATGATGTTTTGTGCCTTGCTGCCCATGTCAGATATTAAAAGCATCACTAAATATAATAGTTATATAATTAGGACAAACAACATATGTAATTCTACAGCCAAATTTACTTGTGGTATTTGCAACTGATGATAAATTGAATTTGATTGATGTTCAAGACCTGACTCATCCATCCATTAGACCATTTTCCTCCTCTCTATCTGTTGCTGGGTTGCAGCAGTCTAAGGCTGAGTTTACACGGAGACAATGTGGCAGTAAAACGATATAGTTGGATGTCAGTTGCTACCAACCGTTCATACGAAGACTGTGTTCCACGGGGGTGATAACGTAAGTGTTCAGATCCAGCCTGCAGAGAGGGACAACTCAGAAACGCTGCACAGCGGGGGCTCTCTTTCACACCCGCGAGAGGGGAAAAGGTGTGAAATCCCCCCCTCTGCTCGCACGTAAATTTGGACATGCGCAGTAGCGGAGAACCAACATCAACAACAATGGCGGCGGTCACACTAACTAGCTTCGTGGGCTTCCAGCGCTGCACAGAGGATAATTCTACTCCTTCGTTCGTCCAAACGAGACCACGCGAAGCTCTAGGTTCAGTTTCCATTTTCACAGCTGCTGTTAAAATGCAGAATGATGTTAGTACTTTCTGAGGGTCTGGCACAGGAAGTGAGTACACTACCGAGGGGGAAGCTGGGCACGGGGCTGGGGTCGTGTGAGTGTTGTAAAGTTTCTCTGCCCACTACTGGCCGGGCGCTAGAACTACATTGTTTTTCAACCTCATGTGAACGCAGAGAAATTTTCAATAGGAGCCTGGTCGTTTCTGTTAATAGCCTGGAAACGTTTGCGCAGCGTCTCAGTATAAACAGGGCCTCAGATACGCTGCACAGCAGGGAGCTCTTTCACACCCGCGAGAGGGGAAAAGGTGTGAAATCCCCCTCTGCTCTGACCCCCGCCTCCGTGCTGTTCCCCGCACGTAAATTTGGACATGCGCAGTAGCGGAGAACAAACATAAACAACAATGGCGCCGCGCGGACAAACTAGCTACGTGGGCTTCCAGCGCGGCACAGAGGATAATTCTACTCCTTCGTTCTTCCAAACGAGACCACGCAAAGCTCTAGGTTCAGTTTCCATTTTCACAGCTGCTGTTAAAATGCAGAATGATGTTGTTGCGTTCTGAGGGTCTGGCATAGGAAGTGAGTACACTGCCGAGAGGGGGGCTGGGGGTCGTGTGTCGTGTTGTAAAGTTTCTCTCCCCACTACTGGCCGGGTGCTAGAACTACATCGTTTTTCAACCTCATGTGAACGCTGAGAAATTTGCATTAGGAGCCTGGTCGTTTCTGTTAATAGCCTGGAAACGTCTGCGCAGCGTCTCAGTATAAACAGGGCCTAAGCAGAGACGCCCAGACTTCTCTACACACACACACTTCCTCCAGCTCATCTGGGGGAATCCAGAGGCATTCTCTGGTCAGCTGAGACATTGTCCCTCCAACTGCTTCTGGGTCTTACCTGTGGTCCCCACCCGGTGGGACATGTCTGGAACACGTTCAGGAGGCATCCAAAATAGATACCCGAGTCACCTCAACTGGCTCCTCTTGATGTAGAGAAGCAGCCGCTCTATTCCGAGCTCCCCCTGGGTGACTTAGTTCCTCAAACTATCTCTTACTGAGTGGATAATCTCTAAAGATGAAACTAATTTGATCATTACCCAAAGCTCATGACCATTGATGCTGTAGATCCAGAACTGAGGCAGCTCATGACCATAGGTGAGGGTTGGAACATAGTCTGACTGGTAAATCCAGAGCTCAATCCTCTTTTGTCATCTAATTGACTTTTGCTTGCATTGGTGGAGCAAGTATTTGATAAGACTCTTCACCAAAGTTGATTGCTTCTGCTTAGCCTGGCACCTGAAAGCAAAAATGAATCTCTCTGATCTGTAATTTCTGGTCTATAGCAGGGGGTGTCTAGGAGTTAATAACAGTTATGCATATTGGGATTGATGATTTTCAGAAGCCTCTGTTGTGGATATATCACTGTTTGAGCTTCCTTTGAGGTGTTGTTGAAGAGGGAATGTCATGTTCGCCAAAGAGGATTTCAACTTCGGGTTATTGTGACATTTAAAAGCAAAAGTTAAGTTAAAGCAGTTAAAGCAGGGAAGCAAAGGGAAAATCCTTTGCTTCCCTGGTTGGATGCCCTGAAGCTACACTCCTGTCTTTTGGCTGAGGATTATATGTTAGTGCTTGAGCACAAATATGATTATTGATAAGAGCTGGACTTCCTTTTGTGGTTCTGTTAAGATTCACCAATAAGTCTTTGTTTTCTATCTTCCATTAAGATAATATTATTCCCCTGTTTGGTATTAGTCTGTCCCATCTGCCCTCTAGAGCGTGCATGGAGTTTATTAAAAGGTCTATTATGTTTTGTAGAGCTGACGTGCCCTTCGGGACAATATTCGCAAGCACCGGCACTATAAGTCTAGGTACATACCCATCGATAGGCTATAGAATATACAGGAGATCAATGCATTTTAGAGTTAATGTAATAGAGTGGACTTGACACAAATCCTCAGTCCCTCCCTGACCTATCAGACTTTCTGCACCACATTATGCCGGCATTTTTTTGTTTATTACATCAAGGCATCACAAGTTGTCAGATTCTTTTTTTTTTCCACCAAGCCTGACCAAAATTGCACTATGTTGCTGCTTGTGGAAATAAATTCTACTGTTAAAGCAAAATGAATAGCACTGGCTAATTTTGGTTTTAATGAAAATAATAAAGCATGATAGAACATATACTTTCTCATACAAAAGAGTTGACATTTGACTTCTTTCAGGTCGTGTTACCCCGGACCAGCTGTGTTCCTATGTTCACCCTTTCCGGGGCAGTGGTGAGGCGTTGGAGAGTCACTGTGGGGTGCTGCAGCTGGGACTGGCTACGGCCCAAACGCTTCGACATCAGAGCCTGCCGAGGTGGGACGCCTGCCTGGCCTTTGAGAGGCTCCTGCTACAGGTCAGAGCTCCTCCTCCCTGCTGATGCAGCTTTTATTGCAACATTTTTGAGAAAATATTGCTTCAGTAAATTTCTAGTCAGGTGGATATGATTGTATGTTTGTGTATGTAAGTCAGTGAAGATCTTGACTTTTCGGACCAGGGCCTTTCTGAGTGGAGTTTGCATGTTCTCCCCGTGTCTGCGTAGGTTTCCTCCGGGTACTCCGGTTTCCCCTACCACTAAAAATATATACAATAGGTCTGGCATGCGCCCCCTGTACTGGCGACCTCACTCACATCTCTGTACGGAGTGAGAGGACAAATGCCCAAAAATAATAACAATTGTAAACTGCTTTGTGACTCTAGTTTGTGAAAGGCGGTATATTAATAAAGATTACTTACTTACTTACGTGAATATAGGATATACATATGACCAAAGCCAACAAAAGAGAATCATAGAGAAGACTAAAAATACTTTTTAACCATACTTTCCTTTAATTCTGTAGTTTTTTAAAGTAAAAACAAGCGATAGATCAATTAGTAAACAATTGGGTACTAAACTCTGTCTCTTTTCCAATATGGGCACATTGCTGTAAATTTAATGGTCAATCCTGATAAATGTCACTTTCTTCAGTCTTCAATTCAATAATAACTGTTAAAATAGTTCAAATTACTTAACTTTATAGGTGGGAATGCTACATTGGTTTTCTTATAATGGGTTTCATAAATCTGCAAAAGACAGCAGTATTTATTGGCTACACCTCCCATTGACTTCTACTGCCAAGAGTGCAATGAAATACTCTACCCTTCTGTAATAATGTCTGCAACTTTTTGACATCACAGACTTTGTCCGAGCATTTTTAGCTGGCTTGTGTTTTTATTTACATCAAGTCAAGCACCTTATTTTGCTGGTATTTACACTGGCAGCAGTTTCTGACATTTTGCAAAGCCTTAGTACATAAACTATAGAAGCAACACTAACCGCTCCAGCACCTTTGGTACTAATACGTTTGTGGTGGTGGATTCTTAAGCTTTTTTTTACTCTTTACCTAATTTAGTGAGAAAGCGGCACGTTGAGGTAATGTGTGATTAAACATGTAATTATTCTTTCACATCTTTGCCTTGGGTAAACATTTAATGACCGGCGCACTGCAGGTAAACGGCTGCTTGTGGTTAGCAGTGTTGCCAGTGGGACAAAATGTTGTGTTAAACTGACAGAGACGAGAGGAAAAAGACCAGATTCTGCGTGTTCATAAACAAGGTCAGTTGTGTTTGAAAGAAAAACATTTAGATCCCGTAAACAGGAGAGAAAACGTCAAATTTTCAGCATGTTGTTTAGGCTTTGAGTTTTGGCCGTGCGCTTGTTCACGGGGGCGGACAGTGGCGGATGTGTACGTGTTTGGGGCTGTTGCAGAGTCTCAAGGACAGATCATATCTACGAGTTCACAAACGGCAAAAATAAATATTTGTGCAGTAAGGGTTAGCAACAACAAACCATGAATGTGGCCAATTTATGCAGAAATTATTTTGTTTTTGTGAAATGTGTGTATCCATATTTCATGCTTGTTTAAAGAAGATACTTTTTATGGAATACGTTTGACATCATAAATAATACCAGACATCTTTCTAAAGGTGCAGTTCCTAAAAAACTGCTTCATCCAGACAGTGGTTCGGATCACTTCTAAAATTGAATGACTTGGGCCTGTGCACGTTTCCAGAAAACTACATTTAAATACTCCCCTAACATTTTGCGTTATGTTACTCACAAAAAAACAGACTTATTATGATTTCACTTTATTGTGATCAATGTAGGGTCTATCACTGAGAGACAATGTAGTGTTGTTTCTTTAGCTTCTTGAACTCTCACTACTCTAAGACCATGCATATTTCCTCCAGTAGGGACATTGTAGAATCAGTGGTATGACAACCCTGGTTATAGAACTTTAGAAAGAAAATTATGAAAGTAGATGGCGATGCCCAGTGCCAAACGTGAATTCAAAAACAAGCTCATAAACCTGTTTCTGGGACAGACAATGCGCACTTCAATAAAAACATAACTCCAGGGCTATTGTCTGTTTACTCCAAGACTCCACTTTAATCCCTTCCTCCCTGTTTGTCGACTCATACTTTTAATATGAGCGCTACAGCTCTGATTGGAATGGCATGGTTTGGTTTCCACTCCCATGTGTGCCACAGAGAAATCCATGAGACTGTTGGATAGTGAAGTACAAAGACAATTACACAGATGAATACAGCAGCAAAAATCTTCTTTCCTTTAATGTACCAACCCTAGAATGGTCCATTGTTAATTTGATAAATCAAAAAAACATCTGAGACTTTGATTTTCTGCTCTTTTTTTCCTTTAATTGGCGATGAAATTACCAGTAACCAATTTTAGTTAGGTGACTTAGACGTGAGATGTGTATCAAAACCATAGGTCGTAGTATAAACAATGGATTGAGCCATAAAATTGGTCAGAATTACCTTCAAAAAGGAAAATAAATGTTTATCTAAATGGTGTGGGATGTTGTCCTGAGAATCTTTCGTTATCTCAATGCATTGGAATAATAACAAAATTAGAGGCATTTAAACTGATTATGTAAAAAAAAAGACTGATACTATTGTTCGACAAGAAAGAAAAATTGGCGCATCAATTGAATGGATGGTTGGATTGCTTGGCCATTTTTGTTCTAATCAGCTTATATTCAAATGCTGTCTTTTTTAATATATGTATTGCTTCTCTCTAATTGTATCAAAACCATGCATACCTTTTCCCTATCAGGGCAACTTATCAAAAGGATATTTGAGCCACGCAATTTTGCATTACACACTATCCCAAACATTAAATCTAATTCTAACCATAGTTCACTGTATTTGTAATTCTATATTTGTATTTTGTGTTGTGTTGTGCTAATAAGAAAAAAAAAGGCAAACTCGTACTAACCAGACATAGAAATTATTAAATCCATGCACACTTATCCAGGACTTACCTATAATGAAACCAACCCAGGACTACATATAATATAATTTTGGAAGATGGCCCCTGAGGTACTGCTGAATAGGCCTCTCCTACATGTACCTGCTTCCAATTCTAACTTTTGACTTCATAAGAAATAGAAATGGTGTCCTCAGGTGTTTTCATCCACCATAATATATTCCAGGTATTTTGACCACCACTGCTGCATCGTAATTGGCTTAAATCAGACATTCTTCATAAATCACATTCCAGAGCCTTAAGTGCAGCGTACGCGTTTTTATTTGCAATCCAGTTTTATGGCGGTATTAGGGGAAATGAGTAGTGTGTCCTTTGTGCCCTCTGTGTTTATTCAATTTCATATGAGTTTTTCGGTTTGGCTCGATGTGGGCAGAGTTAACGACATTAGTATAAAATGGCGGTGGCTGGAGATGGCTCTGGTGGGGGGCTCGGTCAGTCTGTTTGCGCAGCCTGAGTATGGGAGGGCCGCTGTGGCCTGAGTCTAGACCTGGAGCCTGGTTCGGACTGGAGCTTCATTCAGAGCAGAGTGCAGCCGTGACCGAGCGCTGGGTGTGGGCACAGGGGCAATTAAGTCCAAGGCTGTATTTGATGATGATGTGAGGTGCTTTTTGAATTTGAAATATGAAAGACTTACCAGTTTGTGTTTTTAGGCACATTATGTTAACATTTTGTTTACACTAATATTAATTCTATTTATCTGTTATTGCAACACGTTGAAATGAACGCGTTTAGAAGTCAAAACTTTACTGAGACATTTATTTAGTTTTTAGGCATAGTGAACAAGCTCCCTGCTTCTGTCCCACACTGAAAGTGTTTTGATTAATTAGGTTATGGAGTGTTTAGAGTTTATATGACAGATTAGAGACAGTTTAGTTTCGTGAACATATAGTTCCCCCTGCAGCCCCTTAACTCCCACTGGGTTTTATATCCAGGCCTTTGGTTTGGTTGATTATGCTTGTAAGAGGGGTGCTCACACTTCATCTAATCAAGAGCTACTTTTCCAATAAACAGTAAGTTTGAATGTGGTAATTGTAAATTATGAACATCTAAAATTCAGATGTATTGTGATGTATCCTTGCTCATGACAAAGTAGAGCATGACAGAATGGGGAATTAAAATGTTATAATGTAATTTATAGCTATGTTGATAATTTAGAGTTGTTCATTGTATGGCTGTATTCCTCCAACAAGGAATTTGGCAACACGTCAACAATAACAATAGCCAACAATGACAATTGACAAATTTTAATAGTCAACGTAGCCGATACTGTCGACTAATCGTTGAAGCCCTACAATTACTAGTTATTTAATTGAGCTAATATCATTACATTTAAGACTTTTGTATACATACTTCCTGGTTGTGATCGATGACATCACGCAAGCAATGTAATAAACTGTCCTCCATTATACACAGACATTTTTTTATTTATCATTCTGATTTCTGACTTGGTATAATGAAAAAAAGCTTAGCCTGACAGACTGAAGCTGCAAGATGTTTAAAGTATTCTAAAATTGAGACATTTTGCCAAATTCACACAAATAAGTAATAAGAAAAAATAAGTAAAATATATAATCGGATTGCTTTTTATGTGCTTTCATTGTAGCATTATTCCTTTAAAACATTTTATATTTGATTTGATTTTGTCTTTCACTCTGATACCTATAACTATTGACTTGATCCAGACACTTGACGATACCACCCAACCTACACCTATCCCAGACCTCCTGATGTGTGCCCTGGTGTCTGGGAGTTTTTGGTTTGGCTCTGAATGGATCAGTTTGTGGAGGTTTTGGGTGCGCTCCAGTGAAAGTGCAGCTCGGCGCATTCACTTCTTCGAGACGGAGCCGAAATTCAACAGTCACCCTTTCACCGCTTCCCAGAACATAACATGGCCTCTTTACAACCTTCTCAAAGCCCATACAGCACCCAAACAGTTGTAAAAAGAAATTCAATACACACTGAATAAATTCGAGCTACGAGAGTGCACCTTTACAACCTGAAAACTGTATTTAGTTTTATTGATTAGT